TCGATGGTTGGCTTTTGGCCCGAAGCCTTAGCCTGGTCCACATGCAGCACACATCTCGGAGGTATTTCGAGTCCCATCGGAGGCTTCATTATGGCGAGTTGTGCAGCAAAATGAAATCAATCAGAGATAATCTGTCATGGATAATGGCTGCCTGTCCAGCTCCAGCTCGAGTCTACGCTTTTCGTTTTGTGTAACCCCCAAAGCGATCGGCTCCGACTCATTTAAGTGATTCGTGTAATTATTTTAAACAGCCGCAGTGTAAATTTCGTTAAACATCCATCTCCGCTCGGGACTTGGAGTTCATCTAGGCCCGTTTTGGGCATAATATGACAGGTAAACAGTTGAGGCCGTTGATAAATGGCCACGAATGCTGTGGACCACATTTAATTGTTTCAGGTCTCGGGGGGAAGTGAGGAGCCGAATGCAAAACTTTCGATTGGTATTGTAAATATGACTTTAATGACTGTAACAGTCGGAACGGGCTTTAATTCTGAGTGCCGTACTCTCGAGAGGAGTTCGTCGGCTTCAGTCGGCTAGTCAGTCAATCATTAATCACTCAATCAATCATTTGGCAAGCGATTCCTGCCAGCCTTCATGGTCCTGTTGTTTTCGGTGGAAGAACCTCCAGCTTTTCGCTGGGGGTCTCGACCTAATCAACATCCCAGATTCCCCATTCCCACCCATCCGAGTCCCCTGAGTTCCTCTGGTTAGGCTGAATCTACGCCGACTTGTCAACATGTCGTTAACACAATTTCCATACCAGATTGATTGGAATGCCAGTCTCTAACTGAAGGCTTTCTAAGTGGTGGAGGTGGGTGGTTTCATTGAATATGAACACGAATTTAATGTTAATTTTTATTCTGTTGGTTATACATTTACAGTAAAAATTAAATATAACATTAAAAAAATATTGTAGTAAATATTTACAGTTAGGGGATTGTTATTTAACAAATAATATCACTCTAAAGCTTACTAAAAAGAGGAACTTTTAAATTTATAAAAAAATGCTTAACCCACACATACCATTCTCTTCTAAGTCTAAGGCTTGTATATATAATTTTAAATTCTCTTAAACTTTATAAGAACATGATGTTCCAATCTGTGCTTAATTCTATGATTAGCATATTCCTAATAGCTGAAATTAGGCAGCTAATCAATGGCCGGGGTTCCCACCCACTTTGCATAATACCATTCGATCACACACTCTCGGGCTTCTTAATTTTATATCACAAACTTTTGATGGCTGGCTTAAAGAAGCAACTGAAAACGAAGAACATCCCATATAGCATCGTGGTATATGTATTCGCATTGGTGGTCGTAATGTGCCTCGGTGGATGTGGACGTGGATGCGACATCATTAATCACATTTCACATTTCAGTGTGTTGCCTCGTGCAGCAAGTGAACTTCCTTCTGCCGCCGCCTGACAGTCGCAACTGATTGCTGGATCTGAATTGGGATTTCGGACTCAAATGCCCCGCACAAAGAGCAAACACACTCCACCTCCTGTTCCAGCCCCATCCTTTTTGTGGCACATCCCACCCCCAGACCGCCTGCTGACGCAAGGCTCTCAGCGAGCCCTCGTCCCCTCCGATCTGGGATTTTTCCCCCGCATCCACCATGGCTTTCCATCCGTCCAAGGAGCTGTGTCAGAGCTGAGAAAATTCAATGTAGCAGCCACTAATGCGACGACTGAGCTCAGGAGTTCTTTGCATAGACGCCAAAGAAGAATATAATATGCTAAGTGTGCGATGCTTATGCTTTAAACAAACAGCTTAAATTTGAATCAATATGTCTGATATATGTAACCTTGAAAATTTTATGATTACAATAAATGTTTATCAAAGATTTACAACTTAGCAAGTGCATTCTTCAGGACACAATAAATCTTTAGATATAAGCTTAGCTTTAAGACGCATGTTAAACAGCAATCAAAGGTAACCAATTGTTGATAAAAATGCATAATAATATCATATACATAATTATTTGTTATTCAATCCATAGTTTTTACAACAATGTTTGGTTCCATTTTATTTTATTCTGCTTTTAAAACCTAAAGTGAAATGTTTAAAATAAATTTTTATTATAAGTTAATTAAATGCTTAAACCTTTTCTGTCTTTAATATTTATCTAAAAGGCAATTAAATGTGATCTAGATTATAAATTCAAGTACCAATTAGGAGCATAATTACCTACACAATACTATTAGTTAACATGCAAGATCCATTAGTAAACATTCGCTCGTTAATTAATCGGAGCTCTTTAACTTGGAATGAAGACCTAAAACCAACATTCACACCTTCATATGAACCGCAGACTAAATTTAAGTTTTATACACTTAACCGGCCTAATGACGTTTTGATGGTGACCATCAAAATCGAATCAGTTGGAAGTCGATTAATTAGTGGCCATGCCTCCTATATACCCTGCCCCGAAAACACTTGGACTTGATGGCGGAGGTGGCACAGCACGTGGAGCCAATTGTGAGGGGGTTAAGATATTTCGGGTGGGTTCAATTATTCGGCAATTAGGTAAAGTCACATACAGAAACACACGCCAAAAGTGTGACTCGAATTTATGTTCATATTTTTTATATTTTCAAACGGAAAAGGGTAAGGAGAAAACACATTTTAGATTTAATCTTATTGTTGTTTGCCATTTTAAAGACACATGTTAACTATAAATATATAAAAGCAGTTCAAATAAAGAAAATATTTAAAAACAATGGCAAGTAAATTGTTTTTATTCTAAAGCCTTCACAAAAAGCCATTCATTTTGTATAGTAAAAGTGATTCATTTCATTTGAGTCAGTCTAAATATTTACTAAAAACATTATTAAAGCGTTAAATATCCAACCTTCTCCATGTGCATTATACAACAATCATTCTATCGATTTTCCATGTATTGTTTGCTTCATTTGAATATCTGCTCGTCATGGCAGTAGCAACAACAACAACAGCATCACAGGAAAAATCACGGTAGTGATGATAACAACAATAACAACCTTAACCCCAGCGAGACCACAACAATAGTCACATAAGAGAACATTGTGCCAAAGTGATATTCGTTCGCTGTTCAATTGATATTATTGCAAGTCACCGGAGGCTCTCCAACTCGGTAGCTGATTTCCAGACGGAGAAATCAATAGTTCCTTTCCCCACTTCAAGATCGATGCTGGTGTTCGCTGCATCAGAACGCGTCCATTCTATAGGCTCCTATCGGAGTCGCGCTCCGAAAGTGGAAAATAAATGGTCTGGTCCATATCCACACTTGCGGCTTGTCCGGGATCGATGAAAGCCCTCTGAAAATGGGCGGTGCTTCTTCGAGCCAGACGTCTTTTTTGCCGGACTCCACTTTCAGAGCGTGCGCCATGGCCGCCGTTTCCACCAACACACGCACACCGAAAATACAACCAAAATGCTGTATGTGCCAGAGGAGCTTACAGTCGAGGATGAAAAATTGGGTGAAGAAGAGTAATAACAGTGGTGGTTACCTAAGTTGTTAATTAAAGTTATCTAAACTAACATTGTGATATTAAAATTTAACACAATGAAATGAAGTTAGTTTTGAATACCAAATTTCGGACAACCTTTCAGTTGTAATTGGACAAAGGGGCTGAAATATGAATATATCCTAACTAAGCCAAAAATGCATTAATTTTACTTCGGAAAGTTTTCCAATGTTAGTTTTTATCAGTTTAACAAATCTGCGTACTCAGTTTAAAATTTAAAACTATTACATTTTTTGCCAATTGGCTAGATTAATTCTCCTGTTGATTTTGTTGAAGAAAATATATGATTTATAGGGTCAGAAATGATTTCTTTACTGCTTTATGACTAAGATTATATCAATTATATGAAAATGCCATTGAAATTGATTTACAGTAACACTTTCTTATCCCTAAAGTCATTTCAGTGGCGCTTATCAGAACCGCAAAGCACTCAAATGTTATAAAGTCGTATTGGGCAAATACCAATTCTATTTAAAAACTTATTCTAAAAGAAATTTGGTGTTAAGATAATTGAGTAACAGACAACGTTCCAATATTTCAGAACTCGACTGTTATACGCTCTTCACTGATTGCAAATGGGTGTGACCAACAGTCGAGCCATCTCGTTCTGTCGCATATGTATATCGCCCTCCCTGTTCCTCGCCCGCGCCATCAGTTTTAGTGGTGGAAAATGGCGTGCGAGGAGAGTGAGAGGCAGAGCCATACAGCCATGGCTGCTGCTCTCACTTCCCGCTTCTCCTTCCATTTTAATTCCCACTCCACTGCTGCTCTCTGCATCCATTGCGCTGTGTGTGTGGGCCGTCCTTCGAGTGTGTCGGCTCTCTGCTGCTGCTGTTGCTGTTGTTGTTGTTGGAGTGGCAGTGAAAACCCGTTTCGCTGGCAATGGCGGTGGGAGAGAGCAAGCGAGACAGCAGAGGAAACGGAACAGGTCCGCTCGCTCGGAGAGCTGTCGTGAACGAGCATAACAAAAGAACGGCTCGAATGGAACGGTTCGTGTTCGCTGCGCACTCGTAAAACCGAAGCGTCCGACTTTTCTCCCAGTGTCTGTTTTGAAAAATGTTAAAAAAATCGTTTTTTTAATCGCGTAAATAAGTGTTTTTAAACAAGCTAACCCCGGGGGAACCATAAAGTTCTCAACTGTGGGCTTTACAAAAGTGCCAAAATAAAATAAAGCAAGTGCAAAATAATCTAAAAAAGTTTACAAATTCCAAAACAGTTTAAGTGAAACCCCAAAATAATAAATATTATCAATCGAAGAAGCTCTTAATGAGTTAAGTAAATATATTTGAGCGACAAAAATATTATTTCTAAAGCAATATTTGCATTTAGTAAGTGCTGCTGTTAAGCCATAATTACTGTACTAAAAGCAAAAGCTATGGAATATGAGCAGAACGAGTGAAAGTGAAGAAACCATTATCTAAAGTTAATACAAGACCCTAAGAAAACCGCAAGTCCCCTTTTAAAAATCAAAGATCTCGGAGGCTCTTCGCCATGAGCTCATTCCTCATGGGTTATCCGCATGCCCCGCACCATGTCCAAAGTCCCATGTCCATGGGCAATGGCCTGGAGCCCAAGTTCCCGCCGGTTGCCGATGACTACCATCACTATAACGGCCACTACTCGATGACCGCCTCCACGGGTCACATGAGCGGTGCCGTCGGCAGCGGAGCGGTGTCAGGTGGTGGATCGGTGGGATCCTGTGGGACCAGCGGGATGTCAGGACATCCGCACGCCATGCATCCGGCGGACATGGTCAGCGACTACATGGCGCATCATCACAATCCGCACACCCACTCGCACTCGCACAACCACACACTGCCGCACCACCACAGCAATAGTGCGTTGTCCGGACACCACCAGCCTTCAGCTGGTGGATATAGCTCCAATTACGCCGCCGCCACTCCGCCCTCGCATCCACATCCACATGCCCATCCTCACCAGAGCCTCGGCTACTACGTTCACCACGCCCCCGAGTTCATATCCGCCGGAGCGGTGCATTCCGACCCTTCAAACGGATACGGCCCGGCGGTAAATGTTCCCAATAACAGCAGCGGAAGCGGTGGAGCAGGAAGCGGAGGAGTTATCGGAGGTGGAGCGGTGGTGGGTTCTGCTAATGGATATTATGGAGGATACGGCGGCGGCTATGGAGCGGCGAATGGTAGCGTGGGCAGCACCCACTCCCAAGGACACTCACCACATTCCCAGATGATGGACCTGCCGCTGCAGTGCTCCTCCACGGAACCACCGACGAACACGGCCCTGGGACTACAAGAGTTAGGTGAGTTCTTAAAATACATGAGAAAATCAGTGAAGAAATCAACAAAATGTTATGGGTACTATTAACAAAACTTTACTATGCCAGGAAACTCTCAGCAAAACAACAAAATATATTTTTTGTTGATACAATTCGTATTTTTAAAAGTAATGCTGATTTTAGAAACTTTATTAGATACTGATTATACAAGCATATTCTTAGCTCACTCCTAATGTAAATATATCAATAATAGTGCGGTTAAGTTCTGATAAACATTTTAAGCTTATAAGCTTATATTGAAATATATTCATTGACTTTACTAAACCTAAACCGGTCTATTTATGTGCATTGTCCCTATAAGATTTACAAAAACGTTTTTATAAGACTGGCAGAACTAGAGCAATTTTAACATCCAAAATTAGTATAAAAATGGATCCCTCACTTTTGCCTAAGAAAGAATAATTTTCTAGCCGCTGAATGTTGAATTCTTCTTTTTAATTCAATAAAATCATTAAAATTGCTCCATCAAATAATTATAATTTCATGAATGATTTATTATAAATTAAATTTAAAATTTAAATTGAAATATTGTCGGTTTCCTGCAGGCTTAAAGCTCGAGAAACGCATAGAAGAAGCTGTACCTGCCGGCCAACAACTGCAAGAGCTGGGCATGCGATTACGCTGTGATGATATGGGATCCGAAAACGTAAATATCCCCAAAAGATACTGCTCAAGGGAGCGCCTCCTAATCAATGTTTCGATTGTCTCTCTTAGGACGACATGTCGGAGGAGGATCGACTCATGCTGGATCGATCCCCGGACGAGCTGGGCTCCAATGACAACGATGATGATCTCGTGGACTCAGACAGTGACGACGATCTGATGGCGGAGACGACCGACGGCGAGCGGATTATATATCCCTGGATGAAGAAGATCCATGTGGCTGGTGTGGGTGAGTTGAAAGTTTTTTCTCCCTTTGTGTGGCCCCGTTTTTCGGAGTATGCTAATTAAATTACTTAGCTGCCAACACCCACTTGATCCACAGACAGGCCCCTGTAATGCCCGCTCTTCGGCGAAACAACAAATGAAAATAAGCAAAATAAACAAAATAAAAGCCAAAGACACCAGCCATCCGAGTAACAGAAAAAAGAAAACTGCGAGTTCAAGCTCATTAATCAAAATCAAGAGTGCCACGCCTTGTGTCGGGGGGCGAACCGTGTTCACCAAATGACAAGTTCCTGTACATACTGCTCCTATATAGTATAATGCACATATCCCCCAATGTGTTTCGTTCTTTCTGCAATCAGCACTTCGAGCTACTCCTTAAAAATAAGGCCTCTTCAAAAGTTCTTTCAACACTTGAACCGACTTAAAGTCAACTTTGGACTGTTGAATGGTACGGTGTCAATTGATATATCATAAAGTGGGAACTGGGGAATGTAGGATAGGAATGCAGGCTTTTATTAAAGTCAATGGAAAGGAGACGATTTTAACAAGCTTCCATATTGTAGTGATTATTTAAGGGAGTCTGTAAATGATCATGTTATAAGACTTTTTCATTACTTGCATTCTTTACTAAAGAATTTCTTCCTTAAAAAGTAAATACTACAATTTGCATTCATTGCGAAACCCATTGAATAATATGACTCACTCACATTCAATCTAAAGCCGCCAAGAGCTAAATATGGTGCCGCATTATGTTCGAAAACAAAAACAGAATGCAACACCGAGTATACTCGTAGATGGGGAACAGGTTTCCACTCGCTTCCATTCACCAGAACCTGGGACCGCTTGAATGGGCTCCGTTGGGCTCCGAGTTGACAGTTCGATGTGGCCCGGCTCAGATAATTACCCTTAATTGTCGCGTCCAAAACGGGGAATTCATTCAGCCATGTGTCGAGTGTGTTACCAACAATATCCAACGGCCAACTGGGGATTGTCGTCGCTTATTGTTTTAATAATACCAAAATTGGGGATGCCTCTGGGCGGCAAGTAGGTGACGAATGCATTTACAAGAGGATCGGAAGCAGACCGGGATAGGAGGACACTCCATTGATAGATTGCTTTTTAATTAGCACAGTGTCGTAGTAGTACTCCAGTTTGAGCATAACCTTGACCCAAATGGGTAATTATAATGTTTCGCTTAACGCCACACCGACTCGCTCATTGTCAAATGCCTCATCGGATCATTGCCTTTCCCAGTGCCCACTCCAGATTTTAGTCTCGCTAGGGATTTGTCTTTACACTGAGAAGAATATCTGAAGCTAGCAATTACATAAATTTAAAATTATATTGTAAAATACATAAAAAACAAACTACAAAACTAGTTGAAAGTTTCTATTCCGTCATTAAAATATTGTTTATTGTTCCCTAAACACTTTACTAACAAAAGATGTATATTTTTTTGAGTGCCAATATCAAAATTCAAAGATCGAAGTAGCTCGACGGACGGTGGGACTGACTGGCAGCCGATCGCTCAGGGGCATGTTTGACACAGTCGCAAGGTATGGGACTCCGACTCCGACTCCGACTCCGCCGCCGGGCGAATACTCCGACTGAGTGACGGATGGTCCGTGTCATTTGATGTTAATGTTGTGACATTTATCATGAGCGCACGACCACGAGAACAAGACGAAACCTGATTATCGCCAGTGCATCATCTCAGCCTCCGTCTCGGAATCAGTCTTCAGTTTCGGTTCTCGTTGTGCCCCCAAAAACCCGCTCTACCCCTTCGGTGTCATGTTGTTCCCTTTTACAAATGACTTACACTTGCCCGAAACTAAGGCTCGAAACTATGCCTGCGATGTGGCGTGTGGTCTCTTGCTCAATTTATTTTGTTGTTATTTTTTGTTTTGCCCTACGGCCAACCTAAAACTTGTTCAAAACTTTGCCTCAGCCGGAATAAAAGAGCCAGAGCTAGGTGTGAAACGAATTTCGGAGAGCAATTTTGTGGATTATTTAATAGTTGCCATTAAAAGTGTTGAAAGGCAATGAAAACTTAATGGAATTGGGCTTTATTCAGAGTTTAGCTATTAATGAGGTGTGTTTTTGATAAGGAAATAAATCTAGTAAATCATATAAAGCAAATTTTAAAAATATAAATACACTAGACTGTTAACATGTAATTACTTAATATGAGTACAGTTGTTTATCATTATATGTACCGAGCATAATAGTTGGGTATACAATTAATTTATACATTACATCTAATGTTGTTTCTATATATTTCTAGCTTACTAACTGACTAAAGTGATATAATTTTTATTAAAAGCCCTTTCAAATATTATTCATATTATATGAATAGAATTCCTTTTTAATCTCCTTAATATTTCAAATACAGACTATTTTATTTATATTTCCTTTAAGGAATTTGTTCTAATATTCCAACTTTATTAAACAATATTTGTGCCACATGCTAATGCAAAAACTTAACTCTAATAAATTCTGTGGGAAATCTCGTCTGAGAAATATTGATTTCATGCACGACGGAGACTCAAGATGAGGCGGCTAAAATCCATACAAGTTTTATGTTTATACAAGGAGATACACACAGCTATGTATATAGTATAGCCGATGCCACTTTCAATGAACAGTGAAACGTGAACAGCCTTGTAACTGAATTTCAATGGCAAGTCCACGATTAAGTTTCCACCATGAGGCTGAGTTTTGGCCCGAGAGTCACAGTTACCCGATGACTTGCGGAAAGCCTCGGCTCAGCGGCAAAAAAAAAGTGCAAGCCTCAGATACAGATACAGATACACGAGGCTCCGACGCAGATGCTGTAAATACTCAGCTGGAATTGCGCCTTTTGCCAAAGTGCAAAGCGATGGGCCTGGGGGTGGTGTGGTAAGCGGTGAAGAATCAGGGGAGTAATCACCGCCGGCCGAAGGCATGACAATGATGAAAATGACGCAGTAAAAATTAAGAAGTTCGCCTTTATGACAGATGGGGCACGAACAGCTGAGTCTCAGCTGGACTCTTTGCAAACATAATTAGAGGTCTATCCCTCCCTTTCACTCGCTCCCTCCGGCTCTTTCTCACTCTTATGGCCGTCTCTGTTTTGGTTTGGCAATTTACGCCAATAAAGTTCTCTGGAGCTGTGCAAATTATTGAAATTGGCTTTAATTAGCGGAGCTTTTATTGCCGCTGCCACACTCTGCCCATTGTCCAGCCCAGCCATTCGGGTATATAAAACTATATAAAATATATATGTATACAATTTGGTGGGGTTTTTGTTCAGCGCGTTCTTTTCTCGAAAGCAACGAATCTTCAAGGTCGCTCTACGCGTTCTCCATTGTTCGCTGGTCTTTAAGTCGTGAGCTTCTTAGCAGCTCCGTCTTTCTTCTGGCACTCTGCACTTCGGATACGGTTTCGCTTGATTTTACGGCTCCATTCTATTTCCATTTCGTTGGCATAACAAAACGATTCCGTCTTGGGACAAGTGCTGACTTTGCGGCTTAGTTGAATAACCAAGTTGATGGTCATTCGATTGGCTTCTTTTCTGCCAAGTGCGAGAATCGAAAGTGAAGCGAATACTTGGTAAAATGAGTAAACAAAAGCTCAGGAAAAAAGATAATATATTATTAAACAAGAGAATAGCATATAATGGAAAGTAGACTTTTTAAGTCATTCTATATTTTTCAGTATTATAGATTTAATAAGTTTTTAAATATTTATATTACAATTTCTGTTTCCTATTGTTTAAAGAAAGTATCTTACACGCACCTGGGCCACTGATCTAAATATTTATATTCAATAATTTAACTGCTTTAGCTTGACTCCCATTTATTTTTATGAAAGAAACAAATCATTATGCTGTGATTTAACAAAATTTAATTTAGTTCTTTTCCAATGCTCTTTTATTTCAACTCCTGATAAAGACCTTTAAGAGTAAGATACTATAATTAGTTTTGCGCTTATGTATACTGTTTACAGGTATCTATAGGAAACTGATTTTTTCTTATTTAACTTACTTAACTCCTTAAGCTGTACTCAAATTAACATATTTTTCCATTTAGTTGTGCACTTGGCTGAAAGCCATTGCGTTTAATTTAACAAAATTCGAGTTGGAGAACAATTCTCATTCTCCCACAGCGCGGCAACCAGTTCAAGTGCTGCGGGTACTTTACTTTGGCTACATTATATTCACATACATTCAAAAATATATATATAAGCATGTTATATATATATTCATGTGGTGTACATAGGAGGGTTTGGGTGTTCTGCCCCCCGTACATGTGTAAGTAGCATGAGCTCATGTTTATTTTTACTATTTGCCTGCCACAAATTGCAAGTCACTTGACAAGCTGCTGATGCAGCTCCCGCTGTTGTTGAAATGTTGACTTGCCTTTTTTTGTTTTTTTTTTCTTGCCATGAGCTCACACACTTTAATACAGCAAAATAAAGTTGAAAACACACCGAGCTTCGCGTAAAGTCTTAAAACTTAGAACCCAGCTGGATAACGCGGCGTATGCGCAATCTCCGCTCGGGCATTCATTAGTGCAGACCGAAAATTAATTTCTAGCCATTTGTTAGCTGCATTCGAAATGCGATTTCCTCTAATATGTTAGGTAGGAACAGGTTTTATTCGTCTCTGTGATTTGGCTCCATTGTGCCCACCATAAATGCCTTTGATGAATGTTTATATAAATGAATTATGACAGCCGTTAAATATTTCTCGTTGATTTCTTTCTATATTTCATTACAATTGCCGTTTGCTGGCACGAGTCAAATTTCTATTTTGGATTAATCAAAAATATTTACACACTCTCCGTTGATCCCGCTGGCAATTAATCATTTCGATTCGGACTTCTTCTCGCCTCGAATGCAAAAATGAACGGAGGTTTGGGGAATCGAAGCCCGGAAGTTGTCTGGTGGCCACCGCACCTCAAAATCGGGTTAACTTAAGCCCAAAGCCCGCAAATGAGGCCGCCAGACAACAAACTGGGAGATTATGAAATAATGCCTGACATAGTTTCCATTCGCTCTCTCACTCTGAATGAATTTGTAGAGTCACAAATGCATGATAAATCATATGAAATTTTTGGATGGGACAAACATGCCGAAAGCCAACAACAGTTTCCACCATGAGTCAGGCTTCGGGGGAAAGCCAGCTGCTGCCTACGCACAAGGTCCATTTGTGGGCGCCAATTTTCGAGGCCACTGCAGCCAGTTTCCCCCTTTTGTCTCCTTTCACAGCACATCTTTAGCACATTTCCACCTAACATCTCCCCTGGGAGGGAGCGAAAGAGTCCGCCGCCATGGGCTGCTTGTGCAATCTTGATTTCCTTGGCCTTGTATGATTTGGCATTTTCATAAATTGGCTGCCATTCTCGCCGGTTTCAAAATGCAATTGGCACTCTTTTTCGTTTTTCTTCTTAAGCCATGACACCGCAGTTTCCTTTGGCTCGAAGTGAACTTCGCCTTTGCCTTCGCCTTCGACTGTGCTGTTGCCATAGCCTCTACCTTTGCCGGGTTCTTCCTTCTTCTTTTGCGGGCTTGGCAGTTTCGTTGAAATGTTGAAATGAAATGATACGCACTTATTAAAAACGAATTAACGCAGCATGCCGCCAACGCCAACGCCAAGTTCGATGCTGACGCAGCAGCTGACATTGGGATCGGTGTTATTTTCGTTATCTGCCTTGCTTCCTGCTCCTTTTTTGGGGTATTTGTAATTGATATTGCAGTTGTCTCGAATCATTTCGATTCGGTTTTGTTTTATAATTTTCATTTCATGTTCTGTGTTTTCGGGTTTTGCTCCCAACACACAAATCAGTACTTGATGGATTAGTGTTATGTGTAATTATTTAAGCGAAATTTTGCTGAATGATTATGAAGTGTTGAAGATGAGAGAGTGATATTTATGGTTATTATAAACTATGAATCTCTAACTACCGTTTTCTTTTATTTCAAGAATAACAAAGTTATTAGCTTTGTAAATATATATTGTAAAACCCTTTCTATATGAATAGTTACTATATTTTTTTAAAGTTATCTCCAGTAGGCGGTTCCAACCGTCTTTCGTTTGTGCTATTGTTATTTCTGAGCCAATGAAAGTTTCTCCCTTCATGTTAGATGACCATCCGAGTGCTTTTTCAACCCTGAATGTCCTTTTTTTTATTTTAAACTCCCCAAGGCAGTGACCTGTGAACATGGCTGGACCTGCCTCCCCACAACCAGCAAATAGAGTATAAAAACTTGTCAGCAGCTCTTAAGCGCATCTGCTGTGATCCCTCGCCGGTTCCTCGACGATGAGCTGACCCATGTTAGTCCATTTCTATCAGATGGACCACCCAACCGAATTATATATATATATATTTCTATATATACCCCACTTCCCTCTTTTGGGGGCCTGTCAACGGTTGGCTGGACATGGATCATTAATCTAAGTTTCGGGCCAGGCCAGAGCTGGGATTGAAATATTTCTATCAAATCGAAAGCTGTCTGTCACAGAGCAATGAAATTTTTATAAATGCACAACTCCCGGGCGGGAAGTGCGGAGGCAACTCTGTAACTCTGATAGAAACATCAGCCGGGGCTGGCGGCAAATTGAAATTGATGGAGCGTATATAAATTTTGATGTCCATCTCCGACTTTGGACAGACATCTCCTCCGGGTGGCAGGTGCGAGGCATTTATCTGGCGGCGAAAAAAATTAAAGAAAACGGAGTAAGGAAATGGAAGGGGTCAGCGGATAGCGGATAGCGGAAGGATGCAACCCTCAGATGTGTGTTTCATTTTCCAGCGGGCCAAACAAACTGCGGCCGCGTAATTTTTCGGGAGGCCCAAGGACAAGCCCTGACATCCTGGCCGTGGCGCGCTATTTGATTTTGATTAATTATCCTGCGTCCAACTGACAGGACTCTTTCATGTGCCCGCTGGCTAACACTCTGTTCCGCCCCCTCTCATTCTTAGGAATATCCGAAGTCCCCCGACTCCGCGACCTGACCAGTTCCAAGGTGAAAGCGAGAAAAACTTTTAAGGGTTGTCAACTTATCTGGGAGATTTATTGAGAACTTGGCCTGTTATGAAACGCAATTTGAAGTGTATTAATTGTGGTGCCCCACTGCCGCCATCCCTGCATATTGTTTTTACTCTCCGATCATTAATTATGCAAATCCTGGGACATTTACACAGAAAGAAGTTTTTAAAACATATAAAAGTTTAAGGATACATTATTTAAGTACTTGTTAGCTTATGTATATTGATTATAAATGCAATTAAAATATTTTGTAACCCAGGATATGAACTTATGTATTCTGAATTTATAGATACTTAGGTACCTTCTACTTTAAGATTGTATAAAACCTATAATATTGATTAATTAACTATGAAATATTCCCACTTTGTTCTGTGTAGCAAACGGGTCGTATCAGCCGGGAATGGAACCGAAACGCCAACGCACCGCCTACACACGCCACCAGATCCTGGAACTGGAGAAGGAGTTCCACTACAACCGCTACCTGACGCGGCGGCGGCGCATCGAGATTGCCCATACGCTGGTGCTGTCGGAGCGGCAGATCAAGATCTGGTTCCAGAACCGGCGCATGAAGTGGAAGAAGGATAACAAGCTGCCCAACACCAAGAACGTGCGCAAGAAGACGGTGGACGCCAATGGCAATCCAACACCGGTAGCCAAGAAGGCCACCAAGCGGGCGGCATCCAAAAAGCAAACGCAGCAGCAACAGCAGCAACAGCAGCAGCAGTCGCAACAAACGCAGCAGCAGCAGCAAACGCAACAGCAGCAGACTCCGGTGATGAATGAGGTGAGTGTTGTGCGTTGAAAGTCAACAGGAAGAGGCACTTAAGGTTCAGTTCCAAACAGAGTCTTAAAGATCTACACTCTTGTGTGTGCAAGACAGTTCTTCAATATTACCTAATTATAAAATATGGAGTTTTATCCTTTTTCTTTAAATTAAGTATAGCAAAATCACTAATAAATATTATATATTCCTCTCCCTTAATAGTGCATCCGTTCGGACAGTTTGGAGAGCATTGGTGATGTTAGTTCTTCGCTGGGAAATCCCCCATATATTCCGGCTGCACCGGATTCGGCCAACAACTATGCGGGATCTCAGCAGCAGCAGCAGCATCTCGGCAATAGCAACAATAATGGCAGCGGCAATAATAACAATAATAATAACAACAACAATAGCAACCTCAATAACAATAACAATCAAATGGGCCACACCAACCTGCATGGCCACCATCAACAGCAGCAACAGCAGCAATCCGATCTCATGACCAATCTTCAGCTTCACATCAAACAGGATTACGATCTGACGGCCCTGTAGAATCAGCGGGGAAATCTGCAAGATGTCTTCAGCACTGTACATTAGCTATCCCTAACAATCTTTGTATAATTTTATTTCTCATTTCGGATCTATGGCCTTGAGCGCGGGTGACAAGGTTAAGGACAAATCGGAATATACAGTGAACGTAGTTAGTTAGTCAAGTTAAGGATCGACCACTAGGTAAACGTACCCTCATCGTATAGTTATAGATATAAATATAGATTAGATATAGTTATAGATATAGTGTTGTATTCCCAAATTCCCACAAATGTTGTATATGAGTTGTACTTAAGCACGCTAAGATTCAGGTATAAGAGTTTGTATAAAGACTAGAAAGATTCGTCATAGCTGGTAAGTGGCTTACACTTAGTTCTATATATAGTACATATAGAATGGCTTATTTGTATATGAAATTATGATTACCTTAAATATAATTACCGAGTGTAGTTGGCATTTGTTGTGCGTCTCTAGATGTATGTAAGTTCGTACGTATATTTTATGGATACAAATAAAACAGAAACATGAAAAGTATATATCAGATATAAAGAGAATATATTGTTTATGGAAACCAAAATAAACAAAGAATTTAATTGATTCAAAACATCTTTATATTTTTGGGGACAAGTTTGATTAAGCTATTATTTAACTTGCATTTTTTTAAATACCTGAATGAGTTAAGAACTACCTTTGATCGAAGAGAAGTCTCCTATCCGCCTACTCATTCCAGTAGAAGACATAGTCGTAAGCTCTCCTATATAGTAATCCGCTGATTCATCATCGCTCATTGTCAACTAATTAGGACAAATTTAAACATCATGGCCCAAACGCTGCTGGGTAGCAAAAGTCAGAATCGATTGGCGTCGAGTGTCCCGCCCCAGCTCCTTTTGTTGGGGGCTTTCGCACTAAAGAATTCAACGAGCCTTTGTTGGCAATCAGGTTGGATGGAGCAGGAGCGGAGCGGAGTTGGGCTGAGGTCCCCAAATGCTAACAAGAGTTCTTAATTAAAAATCGATTCGCCAATGATTGATCGCAGCCCATTGGCACCTGTTGGCTTCTGGAAATATGTTCAACAAGAAGAAATCATCTCCCTGGGCTGGGATCCTCCGCAGTTGGAGTGTTTGCGATAAACTGGTCTTAGCTCACTTCCCTCGAATCGGGTCGGGCGAAGGAGGTCCTGTTGCGAATTTTAGCTGTTTGGTCAGGCGTGGTCTGCGTTGACAATGACCCGGACGGGTTGCCGGCCGAGAGTATCCAGCGTCTCCTGGCCATAATCAATCTACCCCCCGATCCACGACACTGGATTGTCCGGCGGGTACATGGAAACACTCTTAGCGCTTAATTTATCATTGCGAAACGATCGGCTCCGCTCCTTGCGACCCGAGCCTGGGGTCCCCACTCGGAGTCCAAAACTGGAAATTGCGTGCACTCGTCCTCAGCGATAAAGGGATTAAGACCTACTTATAGACCGGAACGACACCAGAGCTGGCCAAAAGTAAGGGGAAGATGGACACAAGACGCTGACAAAGTCGCAGCAGTTGAAATTAGCAGCTCAAAGTGATTACGAGAGCATGAGCACGTGTTAGGGGAATTATTTAACACTTTGACAGGTCCTCAGAGACTTTCGAACAGGGCAGGGAACCGCGGATCCCTCGTAATTATGACCAACGGTAGCTTCACTTGTCAGATGCCCCTTCAAAAGGACCCACCACATACAGTTCGCTAAAAAGCTGGATAAAACAGATTCCCTGGCTGGAAAAAATATTTACATATCTAGGAAAGAATTTGTTGCAGAAAAAGAGGAAGAGACTTCTAAGTTCTTTAGTTTTCGATATCTATAGGTATATCAAATGAAAACCTAGTTCGGCACTCCTTCTGGGAAATTTCGTTAATCCATTAAACCCCACAAAACGACCTCACACCTTCTGATAACCACTGGAGGAGACCACAAATCCGGCAACCATTTGTTCTAAATGATTTTTAATAGACAAAACTCAGCGCAGCCATCCATTTGGCCATTTATATACCAGTCCGGCTTCAAAGAGCCAATCCATCGCCTGGGCACTGGCGTGGCCAACATAATACATGGGTTAATGGTTACAAATTAGGCTGAATCGGTTGCAGGCAGCCAACACGCAAGTAGAGGAGAGTGGAAAGGGACTGAAGTAGGACCAACCGCAGGCTCCCAGGAGGAGGAGCTGTAAAGACACAGTACTCTTCACAATAATAGCATTAATTGGAATATTTTTAAATACATAACACATATGAATAATTACATATTTTAATAAAAAAAGATACAAAAAATGTAAAGTCTTATATATAGATGTTGGCTCGAAACTATATTGATTATTTAGGCAAGTACAATGCATAATTTGTTCAATAAAATTAACTAAAATATATAGTTTTCCAAGACATACTTAATAGATGATGGTTTGATCTGCTATTTAAATTCGAATATTTTCATTTTTCCTATAACCCTTCGCTTCCTTGTGTTGGCCATATAATTTTTACCATCACTGTGTGTGGAAGAAGGCTAAGCTGCCAATTTAATAAATGGCCACACATTAATTAAATCGAAAAGGAGAGGGAACACACACAGGAGAAGGGACGGGGAAGGGCTGGAGTTGCGACTTGAGTGATGAGACTTGATTGATTCCTGCCGAGGGCCACACTTGAGGTGCATTGTTACACATAATTGTGGCTCCGGCCTTGGCTGCACTTTGATTTATTTCTGCGGCCCGCTCTCCTTTGTCCCCTGGAATTTGTTTCCAATTCAAACTTAATGAGAATTGATGCCCCTTCAGCTTTTTTCGTTGCCGTGTTGTTTGTTTTGGCTTCGGCTTGTTTTGCCATTAAATGGCCTACTAATTGGCAAGGTGAAAACAATTAGCTGACATTTCTGGGAATAGTCTCAGTTCGAGCAAAGAACGGTAGCCGGCAAAGGCTCTCCGAAAATGTCCTGCGGCATTCATCAAACGGAGTGGTGGAAGAACTCAACCTGGAGGCCTCGTATATCCGATATATCCCGCATATTCTGTATATCCCAGCACGATGGCAGCGACTCCTTTTACCGTTCTAATCCCTTCACTTGTGCCGCCCGACGGCGCGTGGGCGTTTCCGGGGGGCGTGCCGCTGTGTCCGTGTCCGTATGCAAAAAAGGTTTGCCGATCCAGCGAAATTAGCAACAGTAGACGCAGCTAATTGTTTCGCTTTGTTTCGTCCTTTCCTACCTGCAAGGACCTCACGGGGAAAACGGGTTTACTATATATTAAAGGCCGCTAGTCAAAGGGTTGAGACGGTGGGCCGGGCCTGATCCCTTGACTTCTGTTGGTATAATCCGGGATGACAGGGGATAAGCCTGGATTAGCAGAGGGAAGGGATTCCGCTTTGACCGGCAGACCGCTGTGAAAAGTCAAATGTTAAAGAAAACGAGCTGCTTAAAAACTATCTCAAAATATTGGAAAAACACAAGGGTTTCCTGTAAACGGAAAATTGCATTGCAGTTCATTGATAAGCGAGGAAAATTGGTTTTGTTTCGCACTTGCATATTATAAAGATGGCATATTTTGGCAACAATCTAAAATTATCACACAAACCTGTGACAAATTATAAGAATATTATGTATAAAAACAAGAAACAAAGCTAATTTCGGGAAGTTGAAGTGTGTACATCCTAGCAGCCTAGGATCATCAAATTTTTTACATAACTCAGCCAAAAATGCATTAATTTCAATTGGGAGAGCTTTCTTGTGCTAGTTTTAATAGCGTTAACAAATATTTTTATAATTTAAAATATTTGATTTTTTGTCAAATTTTGGCAATTTTTTTTATGTAACGCCTTATAAAATTTTCAATTTTCGGAAAAATGTCAAAAATTTGTTTTTGGCCGGACATGGCTAGAACGACTGGGCTGTTGATGCTGATTAAAAATATGTATGACTCCTTCATTGCGTTTCAAGCTTCTGACTTAAATTATATTCTACAAAAATGTATAAAAACAGACACTTTTAATAAAAAAAATCAAAGTTTTTCGGACATAATAATTAGGCCGAAATTGCAATAATTTTAATTCTGAAAGCTTTTCTGTGCTAGTTTTTATTGCACTAACAAATCTGCATACTGCGTTTGTTGATGCTATTGTCAGTTTTTGACTAAAATCATAAAAACCTGCAAAAAGGTATAAAAACAGACAATTTCTTCCAAAATTCATAGTTTTAAAAACTAATAACAAAGCCAAAAAATCATACATTTTAATTCGGAAAGCTGTTCTATGTTAGTTTTTAGTAGATTAACAAAGCTGCATACTCAGTTTTCAAATTTAAAAAATTCAATTTGTTGTCAAATTTTGGCAATTTTAATGATGTATAAAAATTTGGAATTTCGAAAACTTTTCAAAATTGTATTTTTTAACCGGACGTTGCTAGATCGATTCTGCTGTTGATTCTGATCAAGGATTTATGATTTATGGGGTCGGAAATGACTCCTTCACTGCGTTGCAAGCTTCTGACTGAAATTAGAATACCCTGAAAGGGTATTCGGAAAGGAACCTATGTAGCTCCCTCACGCCAAAGTTGGTATTCCCTTTAATAATTATAGGAAATTACAGTCAGATGACCGAAAACGCAGAAAAGGAATACAATATCTTACTTAGATAATGATACCCACTAAATGTATAAAAAGGGGAATAAAAATTAATATTTGACAAAATATATAAACAATTTCAGAATAAGCTATACATATTCTTTAGTTACATATTTAAGACCACTGTCTTTAAGCACACTCAAAACCAAATGTTACTTATACTTTATATATAAATATATTGCTATAGGTATATATAAAATTCTCCTGCATCTCCTAATGTTCATTCCATTTGTTTTTGCTCGTTGTTTTTGGATGCCGAGCGGCAAAAGTATCTGCGGTAATTGACATTCGATCATTAATCAAAATGCACAATGCAGCAGGCGTTTCTTTTCGTTTCATTTCATTTCGTTTCTTTGGGTTCGATTTCCAATTTTTATTCGCGTTTAGAGAGAGAGAGAGTGAAGCCCACGAATCGGTGGACAGTTTTTCCTCAGCTTTTTTTCTCTTCTTGGTTTTTACAAATTTACAGTTTGCGGCAGCAGAACGGCCTTTAACACCTCTTTTAAAAAGGCCAGAAACAAAAAAAAAAAGAGGGTACATTTGGAAGAGTTTGTATCATCAATTCGTACACTTAAAAATAGAAACCATGGACATTCGAATAATAATTAAAATTATAAAAGATAGTTTTACTATAATTATTACGGAATAAAAATATATTAGAAAATACCTTATCTTAAGTGGTACCTTTAATTTTCTTTAAGCATTTCTAGTAAGATTATACATATATTTT